TCTGCGATTTCAATGGTTCTCTTTTTAAAAACAACTTTATTGAGATATAATTCACACACCTTACAATTTACTCATTTAAGTGTACAGTTCAATAGCTTTTTAGCATTCTCAGAGTTAGGCAGCCATTACTACAATCAATTTTGGAACATTTTCATCACCCCAAAAGAAAACTCCATGCTCCTTAGCAAGCACCCCCCATTTCTCTCTCATCCCCCCCTGCCCCTGGAAACCACTACTCTACTTTCTATAGTTACGCCTCCCCTGTACGTTTCATATAAATGGAATCATCCACCTGCGGTCTTTTATCACTGCTTCTTTTACTTAGCATGTTTTCAACGTCCATCCATGCTGTAGCATGGATCAGTACTTCATTCCTTCATATGGCCAAATAATATTCTATTATATGGATATACCACCTTTACTTACCATTCATCAGTTGATGGATATTCAATGGTAGCTTTTAGATATTATCCCTGTGTCTTCTAAGTCAGGATCACAAATATTTTAGAATTTTTGTTAGTAATGCCCATCTCTCAACTGTATTCCCTTTTAGTTAAAGCACTTAGCTCAGTTCCGGGCACTAGAAAGAGCAAGGGATTTGGAGCCAGTCTTCAGTCTGAAACCAAGCTCTGCCATTTACCACATGACCACTGGGAATTAACCTGGCCTGTGAGTTTGTTTCTTCATCTGTTAAGTGGGTACAATCATTCAGACTACTGGTTTCTTGGAAAGATCAATGAAACAAACTGGACAGTGCAAAGCACACTTACCAGCAGACAATACTAGGTGCCAATACTTTTTTACCCCCTCAAAGCCTTAGCTGACCACCCACGCTCAGTGACCATTCCTGCCGAATGCACAAATAATGAATCGGATCTATCTTGAACAAGAAGGTGGCCAACTTCTCAGATTGTTCAGGCTACTAGCACTATTCAGTATCATCATCAGAAGGTTGAACTGCATTGTATGTTGCTTGTTGACTTGTAGATATAAGTCTATTTTAAAAACGGAAATTGTTCTAAACAGGACCTCCACTTATGCTTTACCAAAGGAAGAAATCACTACCAATGAAGACCGTGCAAAGAGAAAGCCACCGAGAAGTGCTTCCCTTACCTTGTGGGTTATCCATTCTCGTCCATACTGATACACGTTGTTAGCCGCAGAATTGAGGGCTCTTTGGACTACCTGAGCCTCAGGAAGCCAACTAATTAAAAATAAAGAAAGAAAAAAATGAAAAACTAGTGCATTTGTAGAGTACTGCTCCAATAACTGTTTGAACTCAATGTATTTAAACAGTCAGTAACTTACAAACTGTAGATCAGTCATCAACATAGAGACACAAATGAATCACGTAATGCAGCAGGAATTCTTGATTGACTTCTAGGCCTAACTGGCCTAACACTAATATTCCGGATTTCTTTTCAAACTTTCCTTATCTTTTAGACCCACTTTCCACAACCTCCTTTCCACTCTGCTCTACTGGGTCTCTCTGTCCTTCCAGCCCTGGGTCATCTGTCTTATTCAGCACCAGAGGAAGTGCATCTGGGGCACTGGAGAGTCAGCACTAGCATCTGGGACTCAAAATGGTGCTTCTCAAGTGTGGTCCATGGACCAACAGCAACAGAACTGCTGGGAAGCCTGGCCCAAGCCCAGGCCTATGGAAAAAGAAACTCTGAAGCAATCTGCCCCTTAACAAGCCCTGAAGGCATCCTGATGCACGCTAACATTTCAGAACCACTGATCTGAGGTAATGAAGAACTGAGGAAGAATACAAAACAATTAAGAGGGTGAATTGCTGTTTTCAGTTTTGTATCCATTGAAGATCTTTTTCCTTACGATGCAAGGAGGTCCTGAGCAGAGTTCCAGCTGTACAAGGAACCACAGTCCGTCGACTGTACTGCTTGTGAGAGGAGGCCTCCCCACTTTCCTGTTAACAGGCCTTTGCCTTAATAAATAATACAGGACATATGACCACTGCTTTCCAAAGGAGAAAATACTTTCATATATTTTCTTAATTGCTCCTCACAATGTGGTATACTAGAGATGGTGACATTCACAAACTGGTTTGAATCTTTAATATTAACCAGTTAATCCTATAAAATATTTTTAAGCTTTCTGTAAGCTCTCAGTCAGTTCAAATATTTCTCAGCAAGTAAGACAAAACTTTATAGATACTTATAAATGTAATAATCTTACAGTATAAGGATATGGACAGGAAATTTGGATCTCTTAATAGAGATGTGATTTGGGAGAAAATAATTTAAGTAGCTTTTAAATTATTCTAGTATTTATAGCTTCATCAGTGGTTTGAAGGGACTACTGAATATTCTCAATTATATGGAACTACATTTTTACGGGGACAATTATATCCTTTAGTGATATTCAAAAGTGTGAGGACGCAGAGGTATCTGGATAGATTCTTAATGATTAACAAATGTCTATTAGGCCTGATAAAACGTCTTGCTGGCTATAAGAAAACACTTCACCAGCGTACTTCTACAGCTGTCCTAACTATACCAGATAAGACAAGCTGTCGTGAGGCCAAGTTAGATGCCTTGGTTCAGTCTACAGAGCCCCTCACAACGCGTGTCCTCTAGGAGACATGGGGCAAGAAACACCTGAGCAACCTTGGCTGGGACCAACTGGGATGTGCCTTGATCTTATGCCAACCATAGCCTCTAAAGTGAGTTCCTTCCTAAGGGTATTCACTATCTCAGCCCATCACTAACTCTCCTACCCTCAGTAGAAACCAAGTTTCTACAACTTGGACTGGGCTACCCTCACCTTCCTGAGTACAGGATAATCTCTATCACAACATGACCTTCCAAGAGAACAGCCCCAATTAAAAACAATGTAGCTGGGCCGGCCAAGTGGCGCATTGGTTAAGAGTTAGCTTGGGACACCAGCTCTGAGCAGCAGGGCCCTGGTTCGGATCCTACAGATGAGGGCCAGTGACGCTGCGCCCTCCACAGCTAAGATGGTGAACAACAGCTCCACCTGGAACTGGGCTGCCATGAGTCGCCAGAGACGGCGTAGGCTGCAATGTGGCTGGCCAGCAGCCAGCGTGAGCTTTCATGAGCTGCCGCTCAAGCTTTCATGAGCTGCCGTGAGCGGCCGTCCAATGGCCAGTGAGTGACTGCCTCACCAGGGAAGAGCGCAATGATCATACCAACATGGGCCAGGGAAGCGACGTCCTCCACAGCTAGACTGAAGAACAAAAGGACAGCAACTTGTCTGTTCCCCTTCCCCGATTCCCCAATAAAAAAAAAAAAAATCTTTAAAAAATAAATAAATAAAAACAACGTAGCTTAGCATACTGGGTTCCTCCCAAGTAAGGGGCCTAAGTGACATTCGGTACCGTCTCAGTGCCATCTCCTAATGAGGGTGCTGAGAATCAACAGGCTTTAGGCCAGTCTGCAGAAAGTAGAAAATGGGTTCCAGATTAACAAAATTGTCCAAGACAAAACTTAAAATGTGTTCTGACTTCAGCTTCGGTTTCTCTGAAGCTCTGCTAGGATGATCCTCCCCTAAGTCTTTCTTTCTCATTTATACACCAGCTCACCCAGTAAGCTTACCATGCGAAGTGGGGATACCTACACAGGTACTGATTGTTCCTTTTTACTTAATGCTAAGTTATGGATTATTCCATTATATGGATATCTCACAATTTATAACAAGGAATATTGAAGACAAGCACTCTGAGTAAGCTCTGGGTAAAGGAGATAAGTGCATCAAAATATATTTTGGAAGAAGTCCTTTTAAGAATACACAAATATGATTCTAAAACCTGGTTCAAGTAAAGAAATGTCCTAAGCAGATTTTAGATAAAAGAATAAAGTCGAGTCAAAGAAGAAAACCAAAGGGCCGGCCAAGTGGCTCAGTTGATTAAGAGTTCGCTCAAGAGTGCAAGCTCTGCTGTGTGGCAGGAAGAAGTCAGAGGAGCCTGTGAATGGAAAGACCACCAGCACCAATTTTCCAAATTATTTTACCAAATGGGGCTACTATTAAGACCAATAGCTTCAGATCTTCTTTAAGTCTGGATGTGGGAAAAGTCAACACTTTATTTCTTTGCCTTGTAAATAGTCTTCTTAAATTACAGATGACTGGTTTTTTTTTCCTTAACATTGACCAAGAAAATTATATGTTTAAATGAAAAGTTTGTGGCAAAAAAAAAAGAGTGCAAGCTCTGAGCAACAGGGTGGCAAGTTCAATTCCCGGCCCAAGCTGAGCTGCCAATAGGTGGCAGGATAGCTCAGCTAAAAAAAAAGAAGAAAACCAAGTTCAATCACAATTTACAATCCAAAAACTGGCTGAGTATTCCCTAACTTAGTGACTGCCTTGGGGTTAGTAAAAAAGGAGGCCAGGCAATTGTCATCAAGCTCAACTGGGTGAACTTTAGCTCTGCTAAACATTCCTCACAAAGACATAAAACCCTCTTACAGAAGCCAAATTAAACAAGTACACAGAGATCCCCTAAGACAGGGGAAGGCAAATTTTTTCTACAAAAGGACCAGAGAATAAATATATTAGGCTTTTGGGACATAGACTCTATGTTACAACTACTCAATTCTGTCTGCCTTTGCAACCCCAAGAGAGCTATAGAATGTGTGTAGATGTGTTCCAGTAAAACTCTATTTACAAAAACAGGTGGCTGAATTTGGTCCTGAGCCACAGTTTGCCAAAATGATAAAATATGGAAATATGTAAAGAATTATACAGAAACTTGAGAGACCATATGGTATATTGGCAAATTCCCTTTACTTGATCAGAAACACCGGGTATGCGTGCTAACTCTGCCACTGGTGGATTATTACTCCAAGTTCTTTAACCTGTGATCTTGTTTCCTCATCTGTGAAATGGGAATAATCTCTTCAACCTACAGCACACAGTCACTGTGAGAGGACTGGTCACAATGTAGGTAAAGGTACTTTGTAAATTATCATGTTTAAACTGTATATCTCAAGTCAAATATAAGGTATCACTTAATGTAAATTGTTCCCGAATTCTTAAGCACTTTCCTACCACCCCCTCTCCCCAATTACATGAAATTCTTGTGCAAAAATAACAACATTCATCAAGCCTTTGGCAAACCCTATCATTGCTCTTCCAAGAGAACTGCATCAATGAAGACCACTTCATGCAAACAGACACAGAAACTAGGTCATCCATCTCTATTTCTGTCATTGTAAAATAATATCCTTACTTTGCCCACTCAGGGTGATTTGCTAGAGTTTCATTAATCAAACTGCTTGTGACTTCGATCATGTGCACACTCTCTTGATGTACCTGTATCACGGATAAGGAGAGAAAAAAATCTCAATAAAAAAGTAATCCAATTTAACATTTATTTTTCTACACTATTATCGGAACAATACTTTTAGAGTCAAATAATTATACATCTTAGCTGCTTAGTTTAGAAACCTGCATTGAACAGCTGCTATATATAATAATCTATGACACACTCTATGAAATAAAAAGGTACATATTAGCTCCTGGCCTTCAAGCAGCTCAACAATTTACTCAAGGAAAGAAATATGTAAATAGATACATACAAATACACATACACACAATATTAATGCATTTAGTTTACATATGTGTATATATGTGTATATATATATACACGTAATGCATATATATAAGCAGTATCAACACTACCTGAGCTTACAGAATTATAACGCAACTAAATAGTGTTTCTGAGAAAAAAAAGCCAACTAAAACTGCTCCAAATTTACCTTGCCCAATAATCAACAAAACGAGGGAGATTTTTAAAAAAGGAACAAGCCAGTGTCAGGAAACATACTCTATATGCTTTTACTTTGTTTAAGTTTTTTAAGCATATTGAGCAAATGGTTTATCTTGGTGATAAGTCCACGTTTACTTGAAAAGAACATGATGCTACTGCTGTCAATTAGGTCAAATTGATTGACAGTGTTTTTCAAGGCTTTTAATATCCTTACTAATTTTCTAACTACTTGTTCTCCCAATTATTACAAGAGGAGTATTATTCAATCCCTCACTATAATCACTAATTTTCTCTTTTTAATTCTGGAATATTTTGATTCATGTATTTTAGAGCTCAATGAGAACATACACATTCATAACTGCTGTATCTTACTGCAATATTATTTTATCATTATGAAAAGTCCTTATTTGTCTCTAGTAATAGTTCTTATTTTAACTATATTGTCTGTTATTAATATAATTACTCCATATCTTTTTGTTTGTTTGTTTAAAGATTTTATTGGGGAATTGGGGGAGGGGAACAGTGCTGGGGAATTGGGGAAGGGGAACGGCCAAGTTGTTGTCCTTCAATCTTAGTTGTGGAGGGTGCAGTTAGCTCAGCTCCAAGTTCAATCGCCATCCGGCCGCCCGTCAGCAGCTCGCGGCCGCTCAGCTCAAGGTGCCGTGTTCAATCTTAGTTGGGGGGGGGGGGCATTGCCCACCATCCCATGCAGGAATTGAACTGGCAACCTTGTTAGGAGCACGTGCTCTCACCAGCTGAGCCATCCTGCCACCTGTTGGCAGTTAAGCGGCCGCTCAGCTTGGGCACAGCGTCACTGGCCTATGTGGGAATGGAACAGGCGACCCTGTTGCTCAGAGCTCGTGCTCTTAACCAACTGAGCCACTCCGCCGGCCCTCACTCCATATCTCTTATGTTTAGTTTGCATGACGTGTATCTTTTTTCATCCTTTTTCTATGAAATCTTTTAATGTCTTTGAATTTAAAGTATATAGATACCATTTAGTTGGAACCTTTTTTATATCCAGTCTGAAAATCTCTGCCTTTTGATTGTTAGTTGCCTCACATTTAACATAAGCACTGATATGATTGGATTTAGGTCTGCCATTTGGCTATTTGCTTTCTATCTGTCTCATCTCTATCGTTCCTCTTTTACTGCCTTCTTTTGTGTTCAGCAATTATTTCTTATTATACCATTTTAGTACCCCTAAAATGTGTGTTATTTAATGGTTGCCATTTTTCTTAAACTTAACACACCTTTAATTTACCACAATCAATTTCAAGTTAATATTGACTTGCTTCCGGTAAAAAATATTTATAGGAACTTCATACCGGTGTAGATTTGTTTCCATTTTTCTTTTGTTATAGTTATACATCTATATAGTTCATCTATGTATATTATAAACTCTACAATACAATGTTACAATTTTTCTTTAAATAGTCATATGTTGTTTAAATTAAAAGGAGACAGAAATATAACTTTTATATATAGCCACATATTTACCAAATGCTCTTCATTTCTCACTTTAGATACAAGTTATTTTTCTGTAATCATTTCTCTTCAGTCTGAAGGAACTCCTTTAGCATTCCTTATAACACAGGTCTGCTATTAACAAATGCTCTCAGTTTTTGTTTATCGCGAAATGTTCTTATTCTATCTTTAATTTTAAAGAACAGTTTCGCTGAATATAAAATTCTGGCTTGACCAATTTTTTCCTCCCTAAGACTCTGAGTACGTCATGCCAATGTCTTTGGGTATTCTGTTTATTATGAGAATTAAGTTACTGTTTTATTGTCCCCTGTGTGTGTTGTGTGACCTTTCTCTTGCTTCCTTCAAGATTTTCTCTGTCTTTGTCTTTCAGCAGTTTTACTATGATGTGTTTGGTGTGGTTTTGTGTTTGTGTACATTTATTCTACTCAGGGTTTGTTGAGCTCCTTGGATTTATGAATGTTTTTCATCAAATTTGGGAAGTTTTTGATAGTTTTCTTTGAATATCTTTTCCACTTTTTTTTCTTTTTACCTCCTGAGATACCAATTACATGTCATTAGAATTTTTGATATTGTACCACAGATAACTGCTGAGGTTCTGCACATTCAATACTTCAAAAATTTGTTCTTCAGATTGGATATTTTCTATTCATCTTTTTTCAAGTTTACTAATTTTTATTTTTCTGAATCTCAAATCTGCTGTTGAAACTAGTGGATTTTTCATGTGTTATTGTTCTTTTCAGTCCTAGGATTTTCATTTGGTTGTTTTTAGTCTCCATTTCTGTTAAGAGTCTGCATTTATTTACTCATTATTAGCATGTAGTTTTTCTTTAATTTTCTGAACATACTTATAAAAGCTATTTTGAAGTCTTAGTCTGCTAAATCCAATATCTGGGCCACTTAAGTATCCACTTCTTTGACTGCCCCTCCCTCAATGCACCACACTTTTGTTTCTTTGTATGTCTAGTAATTTTTGGTTAAAAATTAGGCACTAAAAGATACATTGTAGGGCCGGCCAAGTGGCACGTTAAGAGTTGGCTTGGGATGCCAGCTCTGAGCAGCAGGGCCCCAGTTCAGATCCCACATAAGGGCCAGTGACGCTGCACCCTCTACAGCTAAGATGGTGAACGACAGCTCAACCTGGAGCTGGGTTGCCACGAGTCACCGGCGATGGTGTAGGCTGCAGTGGGGCTGGCCGGCAGCTGGCGTGAGCTTTCGTGAGCTGCTATGAGTCACCGTGAGTGGCCGTCCAGTGGCTGGCGA